CCCTGCTCAAAACTATCAAATATTGAATAATTATCAGGAATTTAACCCTTTAAATGCCAGAATCATGTAATCAAACTGGCATTTTAAGGGTTAAATTCCTAAAAATGATTGATTGTTTGGTAGTTTTGAGCAGGGCTGAAGTTGAAAAAGTAGAAAAAAATATCAATCTGTTCTATTTTTATAGCAGTTTTTTGGCATGGACATTTTTGAGAGTAGAAAATTAAACTGATGCCTGAGGGTTAATAAAGACATAAAACCTTCCTGTGTCATCTGATCTGTAGTTCCCTCTTCAGTAAGAACACGTTAAGTGTTTTTAAACACATCACAACACAAAACCCCGGCACAGCCGAACACATAACATCATCATGCAGAGAGAGAATCTTCTTCCTCAGTGAAGACATCGCTCTAATCTTCAGGATCGTAACTGCTTCTCCATCAAATGGTGAGAAAAGAAAAAGAATTAAAAAAAAGAATTATTTCTGATTGAAACATCGGCGCCCAATCTCCAACAAAGACACGTTTAATGACGGAGGCCACGTCTCTCACTGATCCAGTTATCCTGTGAATCCAGCAGAATAATGTTCCACTGATGAGAGCCGATTATTCCCTCACAAAAGACGAGGAAGAGAAAGAATTCAGATTCAAACTGAATGAACTTTTTGATGACAGAGGAACAACTGTGCCTGATCTCTCAGCGTGCTGCAGAATGTCACCGCAGAGTGTGAGAAATAAACAGCTTCCTCTGGAGCCGTCAGTGTTTGAAAACATTCCTCTAAAAAAAAATAAAAGGTAGATGTAAGCTTGTAAGGTTTTCACCCTGAGTCATGCTTCTGCCTTTAATTCTGCATCTCTTTTGTGTTTCATGCCGTTCAGAGTTTGTTCTGGGTCTCTGCAGCAGCACACTGTCTCCTGTTTATTCCCGTGTAGCTTTTGACGGACTGAGACAAAAACAAATTCTCTGCATTTCCCCAAAGCTCTGCAAACATGACCACCAGCTGATCTCCAGAGACACACACGGGCCCTGGATTTCCAGTCAACACACACCACAGAGTTCTACCTCGGGAACGGCAACAAAGAAGGAGCCGAGGTAAACTCCCCCTCGCAGACTGCGCTCGCGGTGCACCTCATTTTCTGCCACCTTCTCTCAAGTCCCTGTATCCCTGCGACTTTGAAGTCCAGCCAGAGAAAGGCTTTGAAAAAAGCCTTGCAATCTCCCCCGCCATGACCAGGCAGAGGATTAGCCAAGCCCTGCAGGACCGAGTTGGAAAGAAGGATTGGAGGAGGGCTGGAGGAGGAGTGGCGCCATTTTCCACGAGGGGCCGTGTATGTGCAGGCAGCTCTCCCTGCGGCCGGCGCTGTGGGGGGATTAACGAGCTACTGAGGAAGTGGAGGACAGACCTCCAGCCCCATTTTCACCAGAACCACAGAAAGCAATTTGCAGCAGAGAACTAGGGGGGGGGGGGGATTCTTCCCATAACCCCCCCTCCCAATTCAACCCTTTTTTGAGTCTTTTGTGAGATGGGAGACGTTTTTGAGATTCCCAAGTAGTCAAGAAGCAAGGCATCTGCAAAACGTCTCAAATACTGATATTTCACCAAAAAGTCACATTTATGTCACAGCGTTAAGAAAGAAGCAGCTAAGCCTCTAATCCCAGCGTCAGGCTCGATACCATCGGTCACGGGGGGGGGGAGTCATGCTGGAAACTTTGTTTTTCCTTTCGGAGCCCAAAACAAGAGAGATTATTCCTCCTTTATTCAATGTTTGCCCACACTGCTACAACCGCTGTAAATATTTCATTAATCCTCGAGCCATGCATTCCCTGGATCTCAACCCAAATATAATAACAGCAGAATATCTGAGCAGAGAGGACGCTGCTGTCTTAATGTGTGACCGGAATGTAAATCATCTAATTCTAGCAGGAGAGAAAAAAAATCCTTCAAGCTTTCCTTTAAAGAAATGTACAGAATGTCTGAATAAAGACGATTTCTCTATTTCTCTAAAGTTCGGAAAAGGCTCTATTCACATCTCCACTCCTGAAAGTATCTAAAGAATCTCAGGAGGACTGCTCCGTGGTGTGAGTTCAGGAAGCTTATCGAGCAGAGCTGCAGGGAGCGACTGAACCATTGGTGGCGTCTTATTGAAAGTATTCATAATCGGCAGCATCTCAGGAAACAATTCAACAGCACCATCGATAAGTGATAGCAACCTTAGCTTAGCGTAGCTTAGCTTGGAGAGGAAACAGGAACAATAGGCGTTGATTTTGAAAAAGAAAACACTACTTCAGCGCCGCCGCCTCCCCTCCTGTGCTTTTTCAAATAATGGGGTCTTTTGTCTTATCTGTGAGGGAGAGGAGCTGGAGGACTTCGCCCTTCATCCCTTTGTTGTTCTGGAGTCTCTGGTGGAAATGGGAGATTGGCCCATAAAGGCGTGGGTGTGCGAGGAAGAGCTAGGCAGCGGCGCGGGCACATCAGACGTGAGCTGTCTTAATAAAGCTCCCCTCTATCCACCCCAGAGATCTCCTCACCCCAATTATACGCCTGACACCTCCACCCTCCTCCATCTCCTCTTATTTCTCACAGCCCCCCCCCCCCCGCCCCCCCGCCCCCCCGTCTCAGCACCCAGCTCTGATCATCTCCCTTTGCTGGTCTCAAAGCCTCAGAGGCCTGCACATCATCGGGCTGCTGGTGGCGTTTGCTTCACAGTCGGCTGAGCCTGACTTGCGTCAGGATCGGATCTCTCTTCTGGCGTCGACAAACGATCACAACAGCTCAGCCGCCGAGCGCCAAAACTTTCACTCCGACTTTTCAAATAAAAGTCTCGCTCCTTTTTCAAGAATCCAGCGGAGAACACGCCCTGACAGGTTATTGTTTGTAGGGATTTACACCTTTACATTGAAGCTGTCAATGCCCGTTAAGCCCAAAGCTGTCAAGGCCCGTTAAGAGACCGGCCCAAAGACCGTCTGAAACACGAGAGGAGAGGATCAGAGCTGACAACTCGTCCTGTGATCACGAGATCTGAACGTCTTCTCACATCGCTCACTTCATTTTTAATGTGACGACTTCAGCTGAGAAAGACTGTCAATCAACCAATCAACAGGCCGACTGACAGAAACAAGTACATGTTGTTATTATCATTTGAAAGAAGCTCTCCAGCAACGTCTGCTGTACAAAGACATAAAAAATACAATTATAGCGACCCTGTAGCTTTAAATGATCACTCCTTGAAGTCGGTCGTACACGCGTGTTTATTCACCGACTAGAAACTGAACATCAAGAAGCTGGAACAACCGGACGTGCAGCAGCTGTTGTGTTTTTATCAGCGCTGTCAAACGATTCTTAAAATCATGATTACTCACCAAGTTTCAAGAGTTAAGCGTGATTAATCACATGTTTAATGCATTGTTTAGTGTTTAAAAAATGTTTTTTAGGAGCGCTTGTAGTGTAGTGGTTAATGCGTGCGCCCCGTGTACAGAGGCTGTAGTCTTCAAAAATGGACGGCCCAGGGTTGGAATCCGACCTGTTGCTATTTTCTGAATGTCGTTTCTCTCTCTCTCTCTGATATCTGACTCTATTCACTGTCCTGTCTCTCAAATAAAGGTGTAAAAAGCCCCCAAGAATAAACCTTTAAAAACAGTTTGACAACAATGTGAAGCGGCATCTTCCAGTGTGTTGATTTGGGGATCAAACACATGTAAAGAAAAGAACACTAAGATTCAAGTTCTGCAACAACAGTGAGGTCAGAAACCAGGACGTCAGGAGACGGATTCAAAGTCAAATACAGAGTTCAGTTTTAGTTTTCAAAAGGATTCAAAAGTTAGACATTTACAAAAACAATATTCAGGAGTGCAAGAAGAAAATAACTCCCTGGCGTCCAAGGATTTGCAGTTATGTCACACCCGCCATGTACAGAAGGTTCAGTCCTCATCGCAGCGGCCGTGGGTTAGAATCTGACCTCGGCTCTTTGCTGCACGTCACCACCCACTATCTCTCCTCCCAACACTTCCTGTCTCTCTGCACCTCTCCTAAAGTCACAACAAAAAAAAAAAACCTCCCAGAGCAAGAAGACTGGAATAATTCCCAATTAGCAAAAGCTTTGTGAGTCTGTGAGGACCTTGTTTACACGCCATGCTGTGTTTTTCGATTCAGCAGTGTGAGATAAAAGAAACCAAACGAGAGCGTGTCACAAAAGGTTAACTCCTCTGATGAGGTACAAACCGAAGACCATTCGTTATAGGCGTGATCGCAAACACTAATGCAGCGCACAAAATAACCAATCGGAGCAGCTGCGTCTGCTTTCAGCTCCACTTTCTGGTGTTGTCACCTTGAGATGCCTTCAAGGTCACAACAGCGGCCGCATCTGTCCAGCCATCTGTCTCCAGGGCGTCCCGTGAGGCGTCCTGTCAGCGGCGCTCCTCCGGCCCTGTCCTCTACTGTCCACATGCAGGCTCAGCGAGCGCAGACACAAGAACCTCTCATCCACTGTACAGGTTTCTGACGCGGGTGTGTTTGTTTCGACTACCTGAAGAGCTCACACCCTCAACCAGGTGAGCACACATCATGAGTGTGCAACATAACCGCTGACCACCCAATCACGTTTGTTTCTGCAGCTCTAAATCAAGACACAGCAATCCAAACCGACATGTTTTATGCATGTAAGGTTACAATGCATCCGCTGTTCTTGAACTCACTCTGTCATTAGTTTGAGAACAAACTCTTTCATGCAAGTCGGCCGAAATATTCAAAAGCCATTTCCTGGATTTTGATTAAAAGCAGCAGATAAGTAATTGAGAAGACGATATCTAATTTTAAAAAGCTGCTTTAGTCGCAGTATTTCCTCAAAGCATGCATTAATTAAGCGTTCTCGGTGGACGTTTTCCCCAGAAAGTAGCGCTTCCTGCATTTCAGAGATCAGTGAGCAGAGACTGCACGCCGCCCCAAAAATCAAATCTTCAACTTTTAATTACAGAAGATTCACTGTAGAAAGAAGACGTCTCACTGTACCTGATCTGTCAACGACGCTCCACCGCGCAGGGTTAAAGACAGCAGCTGTCAGGGAGTCTGTGAAGAGAAAACAAGAAAACACTTTAAAAGGGGAGGAGTCAGGAGAAATGTTCATTTCACAACATTCAAACATGGCCCCTCCTCCTCCAGAATCTCACCCTCACTGCAGGACGTAGTGTCTACGTTTACTGCTTGTAGCTACACTGCTAGCTAACGCATGCTAGCACAAGCTAACCGCCGGTGTTTGTCACCTGCCTGTCCAACAGGAAGCAGACCAACGCCATGTCCACGGGTAAAAGCCAACTCAAGGTTCACCCTCCTTTTAGAAGACATTAATTCCGCTTGGTGTTTCTTCTCACTGTGATTATATTTTGTCGTTTTTGCCGCTACATCCTCGTCCAACATATTTACCAGTTTGAATCTCGTCCAATCACTGAATTGTATCCACTCCTAAACTTCTTAATGAATAAACTTCTTGATGTATTTTTGGTGAGTCGAGAAAGACATGTGGGAAAGGGTCGGACTTGAACCGGGCCACCCGCTTGAAGGGTTATAGCCTCTGTTAATGACGCATTAGCTAACCGCTTGTGCCCCTCTGCTCCTAAAGTCACCTGCTGCGCTGTCATTGGCTGGAGGAAACACACCAGCTCCGCCCAGAAATGTCCCGAGTCAACCAGAACAAAGCAGAAGAGTAAAATCCAGTCAGAGGACAGAATCTCTGCAGACACAGTCACCACCACACGGAGGCCCAGAAGGGACGATGGAGCAGCTTCACTTTAGGAGAAGTCTGTATTTTATTTTGTTGGAGGAAGCTGCTGAAGCTTCGTCTTTAAATTCATTGTCTGACTGTGACGCAGGACAGCTACGAGCAATCAGAGCAATCACACTTGATCCTCCTTGAAAGTCCAAACCAGGAGCAACAATAACAGACTATTAATCCTGGATTTACTTCCATCAGGGGAAAAATGTGCCGTAAAAAAATATATTTTTGAAGTCTGGAGGAAGATGCATCGGGTCTTGATGTTTGCATGACAGCAGGTTGCTTTGATATAAGCGAACAAAATCTTTTGACAAATCCCAGAGCTCAAACCGAATCTGATGATGGCATCTCCGCTCACAATCTGCTCCCGCAATCTGCTCCCAGGGAGAAAAAAAAAAAAAAAAAGACATCGTCTTCACCTTGCCAGAGCACTAATCTAAAGTTTTGAATACTGTAACAAATTCATCTGCAAACTGAAAAGTGAAATTCTGGACTTGATCAGCAGCTTTTTGAAGAAGCCATCTCCTGCACGCACACCGATGTATTTAATTTCCTGCTCCATACAGTCACTGCTGATTAGTTTTCAATTCAACATTAAGCACAAAAAAAAAGCAATCTCATGCATATTCTCTCAGGGGTTTATGTGCCAAATTGTAATTGTGAAAGACATCCCAATAAGCATTCTGACTTTTTGTCACTTCAGAAACTCATTAACCCCGACCATCGTTGCGGAAAATCTTAACAGTTAGCAACTTTCTGTGCAGCCCATCCACACCTGAACTCGGAGAGAGTCGGGCCACAATCATCCGTTCAACTTTCGCCGGAGATGCTGTGAAATGAAACGACCTTTGTTAGATCCCAAACGGCACAAAGATGAATTCTGACCAAACGGTGACGACGGTGGTTTTGACCTCGAGCCGGGCACATTTCAAGAAGCGCAGAGAGACTTGCAGAGGCAGCATCCTCTGGATTAGCGAGCACTCGCAGCAGCTGGCAGCCACATGCTGGTGATGGTTCAGTATAGGTTAAGGCGGCTCACAAGCTTATTTTCTCCCCCCCGTGCTGTCCAGTATCTTTGTTTTGAAGAACCACAACCCCCCCCCCCTTGGTTGGAAAGTATGGCCGCTGTGTGTTGTATCAATAACAGCCTGCCCGGGGAGCGTGATACCACTGGACTTATGATCATTATCCTCTTGTTTCTGAAGTTTACGCTTGTAGTTCTGCCTGGGAAAAAAACAAACATCAAAAAGGCAGATAAGGCCCGGACCTGAAACAAAATTGCAGTACGAGTTCAACAAAGGTTCCAGATTATCTCTGAGGCATTTAAAGTTCCCAGACTGCAAATGACCCTTAAATGCATCTTGATTCATTTATCAGAGAGCACTGTGCTTGATGGTGGAGCACGGCAGAGTTGAATACAGGGACGTCGATCAGCTGCACATCTGCTCGCTTCCATCAGAGTAAACTTGTAATTTAGCATGAGGAGGAGATTACAAAGTGGACGGCTCAAGTCCATCAGTCGGGCCGTGATATCAGAGTCCATAGGGGCCCAATGAAGATTTATCAGTGTTGGTGTTTATTCTTCCACTGTGTCAACAATCAAAACTCTTTTCTCACAACATTAGGGATGCCGTTTGGCAAACAATGTGCCTCGCACTGATGTGAGCAGCCGATATGCATCTGTTGCTGGCGAGCTCATCAGGCTGATTGAGAGAAGAGGTTTTTTTTATCGGGCAGAATGAGTCACATGTTGGACAAACTCAGGGTCAAATGTGGAAGGAAATGTGGGCAGTTTGGGAGTCTGACGACGTCTCTGAGAAAGATCTGCAACACCATGTAAGACATGTCCAAGTGACATTTCAAGAGTAGAAGAAGAAAAAGATGTGCTTTATTATTCCAGGGAGGGGAAATTCAGTTTAACACTCTGTCTTCTTGTAATATTTGCACACAGTTTTTGTGTGTCTGTTATCTTCTCACCTCTTTCATTTTCTGTCTTGGGGAAGCCAAAATGCTTCCACACCTCCGGTTTAAGAGACGTGGTCCTCTATCTCTAAATCCTGCCTCACGATTCATCTTTACATCCCTACTACACACACATGCACAAACAGTAGAAGCGAAATGAGAGAAATCTCATATTGTGTCTGGATTTTGGCAATCGCTTTGAAAAGTCACATTTTGCATCGATACTCGCTTACATTAGTTGGTACTGGTGCATAAAATCGAAACGACCACCAGAGCTGCAAAAAATCCCAAATTCTATTTTAAATCACACAAATAAATGACTGAAGAGGGATGGCATTTTGAAACTGTTGGGCCACCAATCAAAGGGAATGTCGAAGGAGCAAATCTCCTGGTGCACCCTGGACTCGACTCCTGGATAAATGCATAAACACCATCCTTCTGGTGAACAAACCAAACCTTGGAACCACAACTGAGAGCAGAATCAAATCACTGCTCGGCCTCTGAGCCGTTGGACTGGATGTTTGTTCCACATGTTTGCTTGCTTGGGCCGCACCTCAAGCTCTCGTAGGAAACATGCAGAATTGTTTATGGAGGTTTTTATTGACTTTTCAAAAAAGCTCACACTTGTGGAATGACCCTTTCATCGATCGGGGAAATGGATACAAGGTGGTGGGATAGGAGATGATAGCACAACGCCTGTGATTGTGTCAGCTTCCATTAACAATGCATGAGTACACAACACATGAGCGGAGCAAGGCAGAACTGATTGTTTCTTCAGTTTTAGTGAGATCATCAGCTCGCTTTGTGTGAGACACCAATATCTCTAAAAGTTTCACCCTTCCAAATCCTTTTAATTCGACCCTGGCAGCAGTTTGATTCATCCACTGAGGCGACTCCAGGAAGATTTAGTCGCTCATCATCCCGGATTATAACTCCGGGGTGTCTGGTCTGGTGATCAGCTAAGAAGCTTCCTATGATGATGAAAAGTATAAAGACGTTCAGATTAGACGTTCTTTCAATACCGTTTATTTATCTAAAAAGTGGGCTGCGTCCTACATCCCAGTGAGACCAATATGGTCAGCATAAAACAAGTTCAGCGATGACGGCGAGAGCATTCACCGCCATCATCCACTTCATGCAACTTTGATTGTGTATTGCAGGCGGCCACTCTGCTGCACATGGGGGTGCTTGGATATCAACCGATGCTGACCAGGCTGGTGGCGCCGCGTTCAAACATCTTTTTCCCTCATGAGGTCATGACCCTGCATTTAAATAAGACGGTAGTTCAGAAAGAGAACCCTGCAGAGTCTTGGTTTTATTGGAAAGCCCCCCCAACTAAAAAACAACAAGTGACCAGAGTGTTGCCAATCGCCTTAACTACTGCTCAGTCCATCAGTGTCCATCAGTTTTGACCTATACCTTTCAGTAGCTGGGGATTGAACCCCCAACCGTCCAGTTGAGAGATGACAGACTCCACCACTGAGCCCCAGCATTTTAGACTCCACATGGTGAAAACAGACGAAGAGCTACACAGCGGCACAGATATTACATGATGGGGACTGCGTCTTATTTACCAGTGTGTTTATATTACAGATTTGACAGAACTCGTCGGATACCAACGAATGTTGGTACTTCGAACTTTCTTCTGCCAGAACAACCCCCCTCCCCACCGGATTGTTGATGGAGGCCTTGCCTCCCCCACCCCCTTGCTCCATGTCCCTCGTCCTCCATCTTATCCCATCTCTCCCCCTATCCCCTTCCAAGCCCGGCGCAGTCTAGGCCTGTGAAGGCTGTTTCGTCATGAGCCGGGAATCCGGCCGAAGATTTCTGCCTTTTAATAAGGCAGTTTTTTCTTACCACTGTAACTTTAGCTGCTTTGCTAATGTGCTCATGATGGATAGGCCAGATCTTTGTAACATAGCAATAAGTAAGGTCTTTTACCTGCTTTTTGTAACATAACAATGAGTAAGGTCTTTTTACCTGCCCTTTTGTAATGTTAAAAGACAAACAGTAAGGTATTTTACCTGCTTTTGTAAAGTGTCTTGAGATAACACTTGTTATGAGTTGACGCTATTCAAAATAAAAATTGATTGATTGATTAATTCTGTCTCTTTTCCTTCGGCGCACAATAAACAGCATTTTCTGTGATCACTGGAACACTAATAAACTGACTGTTAATCAATTTATAAGATGTTCATGATTAATACCAAACTGTTGCCAAGATGACACAATCAAAAAAGACTCCGGCTAATTCTTTGGCTCAAGATCAAAACATGAAGTAATCCTGCCGACGGAGGGGGGAGGTCCAAAGATAGACGAGATGGAGAGATCAAAACT